GTGCATGTGTGCCCAAGATCCCAAGAGGAGAACGGAGAAGGGATTGTGGCATGGCCATCCCCCCTGGGGGGTGATTTCTCGCTTTCTATCTCTCTCTCTTTCTGGTGAGCGCATGTGCCCTATAGCAAAAACTTCTACAAAAAATATATATGTATGTATATATATGCATGTATATATACACACATACATACATACACATATATACGTATATATACATGTGTATATACATATATATACGTGTATATACATATATATGTATATATACACACACATCTCCCTGACAGAATCATGCTGTGCTACTTTTTTGCCACTTATTTTTCTACTGGACATTAGTCTATGTCACTATCTGTAGGTGACTTTGTCAGAGTTGATTTCACCAATACCCTAATAGGAGTTTTTAATATTTTGCTGTTATAAATAAAGCTGTATAATAAACACACCAGTTTTTGCAGTTCTCCTTTCAAACTTCTTACTGCCATTTATGAGCTGTCTCTGTCAGGGTTCGGTTCATTTTGAAGTCTCCTGACGTTGCCTTTATCCCTTTTTAACCTTTTAATCTGTGCTGTACTGGGATGATAATAACAGCTTCTGATTTTGAAAGTTTTACTTGTATTAGAGATCTCATTTATTTCTGAAAATAGCCTTTGAACTAGGAGAATTCTTCCATTTGTCATTTTGGAGCTCTTTCCTGTCCTTATCTTTTTTTTTTTTTTTTTTTTTTTTAAAAATTTTTTTTTTAATTACATTTTTTTTTAATTTAACCAGAGAGAGACAGAGAGGGAAAGTGAAACAAAAAGCCACTAGGTCTGGGACTTAAACCACAGTCGGCCATGTGGAAGTCCAGCACTTTAACCACCGTGTTACCTGCCAGCCCTTGTAGTCATCTTTAAGTGAATAATAGGGGAGCCAGCAGATGGCATAATGGTTATATCACCGCACGTCCATGAGTTGACTGCGGGTTGAGTCCCAGAGCCAGTGGCTTAAAACTCACGCTGGGCACGTGTGCATGTGTACCCAAGATCCTGAGACAATGGAGGAGAGGGGATTGCAGTGTGGTCATCTCCCCAGGGGGCAATTTTTCATTTTCTGTCTCTCTGGTGAGTGCATGTGCCCTGTAACAAAAATCCCTCTCTTAAAAAAAAAAAAAGTGAATAATCGGGACCAGGTAGCGTAGTGATTACATTGCCTGACTCTGACAGGACTGACTGTGGTTCAAGTCCTGGCTTGAAAATCAACCCAGGTGTGGTTGTGTGCCCAAGATCCCATAAGGAGAATGGAGAAGGGATTGCGGCATGGTCATGTCCCCTGGGGGGGGGGATTTCTCACTTTCCCTCTCACTGTATCTATCCCTCTTTCTTTCTGACAAGTGCATGTGCCCTAAGGCAAAAACCTCTTAAAAAAATAAAATAAAAGCTAATAATGGTGGGGCTATCAGGTGATGTCTTGGTTAAGGTGCTAGACCACCCATGTGGCCGACCATGGTTCAAGTCCTGGACCACACAGCTTGCTTTCATTCTCTCTCTCTCTCTCTCTCTGGTGAGTGCATATACCCTATAGCAAATTGGGGAAAAAATGAGGCCAGCAGATGGCATGGTGGTTGGGGCACTGATCTTCCACATGGGTGACCACTGTTCATGTCCCAGACCTGGCAGCTTGCTTTCTTGCTTTCCCTTTCTCTCTCTGTTTCTTTGGTCAAATTTAAAAAAATAATAGGGGCCAGCAGGTGGTGTTATGGTTAGATTTCTGGGCTCCCACGTGGCCAATTGCAGTTTTAGTCCTTGACTGGCAGTTTGTTTTCTCATGTTCCTTCTCTGTCTCCCTCTGTCTCTCTCTGATGACTATATCAAGTTAAAAAAATAATATTAGGGGCCAACAGGTAGCATGGTGGTTAAAGGTGCTGGACTTACACATGGCCAACCGCAGTTCAAGTTCCGGACCTGGAGACTTGGTTTCTCACTTTCCCTCTCTCTCTTTTTCTGTTTCTCTCTGATCAAAATGGAAAATAATAATAAATAGTTAATAAAATAATTTTAAAATCACTGGGACCAGCAGTTAGCATTATGGCTATGTCGCTGGACTCCCATGTAGTCGACCGCCGTTCAAGTTCTGGACCCAGGTGGTGCATGTGCATGTATGCCCAAGATCCCAGGAGGAGAATGGAGGAGAAGGGATTGCGGTGTGTCTCTGTCTTTCTGGCGAGCGCATGGGCCCTATAGCAAAAACCTCTCCAAAAAAAAGAAAAAAAAAAAGTAAAAAGAAAATACTAATAATAAATAAAATAAAATAAATAATTATTTAATAATAATAACAAATGGAAATAAATAATACAAATGGAAATAAATAAAAAGTCTAAATATTAAAGAATAATTAAATAATTTTTTAAAAAACTAATAGTGATAGTACTTCATTAGTAAGAACAGATGAGATGCAGGCAATTCCTGTTATTTGTAGATGTTATGGTCTCTAAATTTGCAGCAAATACTGAATTAGTTAATACTGAACTACTTCCTTTGGGGAAATACATGTATGGTTAGGTTCTTACATGTCTCTAATCTCATTTTCATCAACTGATCAGTACATGTTTTATTTGCATGTCTGTTTAAAGACACGTTATTGACTATATTCCATTGATTTATTAACTTTGAACTCATAGCCAGGAGCACTTTAATTTCATGCCTAAATAAGGCTTATCCAATATGTAAAAGGCACATTGCAGCCTTATTGTGCTTAGGAACACTAGACTGCTCTCTCTCTCTCCCTCTCTTTTTTTTTAGTTTTTGCTCTAGGGTAAAAGCACTTGCTGGGGAAAGAGAGAGAGGGAAAG